TCTAACACACACACACACACACACACACACACACACACACACACACACACACACACACACACATATATATATATATATATATATATATATATATATATATATATATGCCTGACCTCTCAGAACTTTACTTTGAAATCTGTTGGAAAGCCTCTGTAACTACATAACTCTAATGATTCACCCAGCTGCAAAATCAGCATCACTTGGGCAATGCTAAAACCTGCTGCTAGCTTGAGGGGTAACTAGGCCTGCTTGGATCGTGGCTGCGGTGGCCACTGAGTGTCTGGATGATTGGACACAGGGAAGTACTTACTGAGACAGCTTGTGTACACAGCTTTCTTGGCTCTAACTTGTAAATGTGCTTCTTTTCAAAACCCCCAAGGTTTTCAAATCTTTTTCTGCGATGGTGACTGCTCCCCATTCTTACTGTAAACCTGGCCAAAGCAGCTGCTAAAGCCCCTGCCATGGCTACCTGGATGCTATGCGGCCTTGGAATTTCTTCCGCTAAATTAAACTAACACTTTGACATTCGGCCTCTCACACAGTCTTAGCACATGAGCAAAACATAGCCGTGGTTTTTGTTTTGTTTTGTTTGGCCAGAACATAAATAATTTTCCTCTAGCCCAAGTCCTAATGGATCTCTCTTTCTCATCTGGAGCCTCATGAGCTGTCTTTACAGCTGCTTTCTAATCAGTGTTGGAACCCTTTGCACTTCTGCCAGAATTAAGCTCTCCTTACAGCATCCTAGGGTTTCTATAGCCTGTATCTCTAAACTTTACCAAATCCCTTCTACAAAACCTAAGACACATAGTCAAGGGGCTGGATTTGGGAGACAGCAAAGGGACTCATTCCAAGGAGAAAGATGATTTTGGAGCTAGGGTTTGGGGGTGCTGGATGGTCTTCCCGAGGTAGGTGATGCTGGGATACCCAGGCAAATGAAGTGCCTGTACCCTTTCTCTTTTCTTCTTCTCCCACCCCTTGAGGGTACCTGAAAATCACAGGTACCCCAAGCCTGGTTTTGCCTCCATCTCCCAGGAAACCGCATTATCATGGGAAAGAGCCACGTGTTCCGCTTTAACCACCCTGAGCAGGCCCGCCAAGAGCGTGAGCGAACACCCTGTGCAGAGACGCCTGCTGAGCCAGTGGACTGGGCCTTCGCCCAGCGTGAGCTGCTGGAGAAGCAGGGCATTGACATGAAGCAGGAGATGGAGCAGAGGTGAGGCCTAGCGCCAGCTGCCTGCCCGCCGAGTCTGATGGCCTTGTGTTCACCTGATGTTCTCTTGCAGGCTTCAGGAGCTGGAAGACCAGTACCGGCGGGAACGCGAAGAGGCCACATACCTGCTGGAGCAGCAGAGGCTGGTGAGGATACCCACCGAGCTTCCCAGACCCTCTATGCCCTAGCACACTTGGACAGTGGACCTCTGCTCCTTCTGGCCACCCTCTCTGCTGCCCGGGCCCCCCTCTTGCTCTCCAGTGGGCTGGGGTGAGGCTGCCTCCATCTCTCAGGCCCTGCCTATCTCTTCAGGATTATGAGAGTAAGCTGGAGGCCCTACAGAAGCAGATGGACTCCAGGTACTACCCAGAGGTGAATGAGGAGGAGGAAGAGCCAGAGGATGAAGGTAAGGACTCAAGGACTCAAGAAGATGGCTTGTGAACTGAAAGAGCAGGTCCCAGGTGGCTCGCAGGAAGTCAACTGGTCTGAACTGTTGCCCTGGGAGATAAACCTCCTTAATTCTGGATACTGTTGTACGGACAGGATTTGGGAAGCTGTACTGAAGCAAGTGACCACACATCTCTCTCACACACAGGCACACGCTTGCTAATGGGAATGGGCCAGGACCACAGGTGCTGGCAAGGGTTCTCTTTGTTCACTGTGTGGTATGTAGAGACCACCAAAGACCTGGTTCACTTTGCACCTCATCTGAGGGTTCCCTTTTTTCAAGAGGGCCCCATGAACAGAGGGCATGTGGGCCTCCGCTCTGCCCTTGCTCTCCCAAGAGTGCTCTTCCCCACTGGCAGTCCTGCCAGGCAGATGACATGGTGACAATGGTGACATGGATCCTGAGTTGCTTTGACTTTCAGCCAATTAGGGAAGCTCATCTGGGGAGCCCAATTAATCTTTGGGTGACCTGGGGCATTTCCACAACACTTGATTGGCTGGTCTCTCTGCTGGGGTCTCCTTTCTCCACGCCAAGAGGGCTTAGTATGAAATCAGGAATGAGAGCATGGGGCCTCCAGCCCAGCATGGTAGGGGCTGACCAGAGTCTGTATCTGGGGAGAGAGGGCCAGAAGCCAGCAAGTCTTCCATGTTAGCCTTTAACATTGACCTCTGGTTACAGTGACTGCAAAGGGGCTACAGACCAGCTGCAGTGTGGCCTGGGCCCAGCGTCCACTCAGCTAGTCCTTTGGCCTTGCCAAGCCATCTTGATCCTTTGGAGCTCAGGTTGTGGTAGGCTATATTGTGGCTTTCTTTGATGACCCACATGGCTTCTCCCACAGTCCAGTGGACCGAGCGGGAGTGTGAGCTGGCACTCTGGGCCTTCCGGAAATGGAAGTGGTACCAGTTCACTTCTCTACGGGACCTGCTGTGGGGCAATGCCATCTTCCTGAAGGAGGCCAACGCCATCAGTGTGGAGCTAAAGAAGAAGGTGGGACCCATCAGAGGGGTTTCCCCATGAGTTCTGGGCTAGTTCTGGGCCCTAGAGCTGACTGGGCCCTTGCCTGAATGAGGTATCCAGTGTGGGAGGTTGAAGGAAGCACTGGGGGTGGCTGGAACTGATCTCTTGCTGGCTCTGTTTGGGAGTCAACAGCAGTGGTGGGGACGGGGTGAGGGGTGTCAGGCATTTTTTTCAGTGATAGCTTGAACGGTTTGGTGAACTATGGAATATAGAGCTGAGATCTCAGGGGTGTGGGGAGAAGCCCCCTGGGAACCTGGCTTCCACTCAGCAAGGCGTGGGTGAACGGTCATCTTCTGCCCTTTCCAGGTCCAGTTCCAGTTCGTCCTCCTCACAGATACCCTCTACTCCCCACTGCCGCCAGACCTACTGCCTCCAGAAGCCGCCAAAGACCGAGAGACACGCCCCTTCCCTCGAACCATTGTGGCAGTGGAGGTGCAGGATCAGAAGAACGGGGCCACCCACTACTGGACGCTAGAGAAGCTCAGGTGCAGCTGGTGGGCACTGAGGTGGATGGTAGACGGGGTCCTCCCCGGGGACAGAGACAGACTGGGTTCTGCTTCACAACAATGCCAGTGTGCCTCCTGGTGTCACGTTTTGTCTGCTTCTGAAGGAGCACTTAGGCAGTAGAAGGGACTGGAAGGTGGCTCAGTGTCTCCAGCAAGGCCTGTGCCAAGGGCCTCAGAGACAGGGATGCCCTGGATTCTCTACTCTGCATGCCTGAAGGAAATTTTCTCCTCAGCCCCCAGAAGGTTGAGGGCCTGGGCAGGTGGAAGGGCATCTGTAGTGTCCCGCCATCGCTGAGGTTTTTCCATTGCTTGTGTGTTGTGAGAATGCTTCTGCCTCCTTGGTCTCCTCCTCTAGATCATGCCAAGTCTTCGTGTGTAAAGGTGACTAGGTAATGGCACAGACGTCTGCCATGAGAAGAGTAGAATGTACTCACAGCCCTGGAAATATGAGGCACAAACCTGCAGGGCCATGACTGGGCACCAGAGCAGGCCAGGAGTAGGAAAGCCAGAGTGTTCCTTGGACTTCTGAGGAAAATGTGGGACAACTGGTCTCTATGGACCAGCTCCCTGGAATGAGGCCAGACTTGGTAAAGGGGTCTTCCTAGTTTCCTACTGTCCTGGGGGCAGACAGAACATGGGTCAGGTGTGTGAGAGTTTAGCATGAGGAGAGGTGGGTGTGGACTTGGGGTCTGTTGTTTTGTATGCAGAAGGCAAGCTCACCAATGAGTTGCTAGCTATCTCTAGGGAGTAGCTAGATCAGAAGTTCTCAACCTGTGTGTGGGTCATGAACCCTTGGGGATGAATAACCCTTTCATAGGGGTCACCTAAGAACTCTGAAAAACACAGGGATTTACATTATGACTCATAACAGTAGAAAAATTACAGTTATGAAGTAGCAATAAAAATAATTTTATGGTTGGGGTCACCACAACATGAGGAACTGTATTAAAAGGGTCACAGCATTACGAAGGTTGAGAACCACTGAGCTAGATAGAGAGGGCTCTTCTCGGTTAGCCAGGCCTCCTGAAGATGGCAAATGTGGACAGCAAAACATGACTAATAGGCAACCCTTTTCTTGTTAAATCTGTGTGTGCCCACAGGCTCTCTGTCCTCCTGTGCCCTCCTAGGAAGTTAGGTTGAATATAACACCATCAGTAGTGGACACTTAACCCTCTAGAAGTCAAACTGAGCCCTAGAGAGCACAATCTCATTTTCTTCCTCCTAAATTTTGTCCTACCTCAGGGGTGAGATTTAAAACTACTTTGTCTTGTTGGGCAGTGGTGGTGTACCCCTGTAATCCCAGCACTGGGAAAGCAGAGGCAGGTGGATCTCTGAGTTCAAGGCCAGCCTGGTCTACAGAGTGAGTTCCAGGACAACCAAGGCTACACAGAGAAACCCTGTCTTGAAAAACAAAACAACAAAACAAAAATTTGTCTTCTCCATCCCTTTCTTTGCCTCCCTTGAGCTCACTACAAGAGCCTTCAGGGCTATGATACCAGTCCCGTTTCTGAGTTGCTGTAGTTCTCTGTTCAGCTCACCTTTGCTGTCACTGGGGAAGACTAGGGAGGCATTTGTGGTGAACTGCCTTCTCACTTACACGGTTGCTGTGGATGCTGACTTCTGAGGACCACAGAGGGGTTACTAGCTGGCAGACCTCTGAGCCTGTGACCCTGACAGGATGATGGTGATAGAGCCATGCTGGGTCTGATGCCCTAGGAGGAATGGAGAGCCAGGCTACCTATGGGCACTGGTCTGAGCCTCCATGGTCTTTGAACCCCAACAGACAGCGCCTGGACCTGATGCGGGAGATGTATGACAGGGCCGCAGAGGTGCCCTCCAGCGTCGTCGAGGACTGTGACAACGTGGTGACTGGCGGGGACCCCTTCTATGACCGTTTCCCCTGGTTCCGGCTGGTGGGCAGGTGGGTACCTCCTCCCTGTCCTTGCAGAGAAAGACAGAGAGAGAGAGAGAGAGAGAGAGAGAGAGAGAGAGAGAGAGGCAGACACAGAGACAGAGACAGAGACAGAGACAGAGAGACACACAGAGAGAGAGGGCAGTGGAGTCAGAGCCTAGACCCTGAACTGTCCTGGCCTGAAGTCAAGAAGGGGCATATTCCACACTTGTTCTTACCTCAGTCATCCCTCATCATGCATCTGCATGATGCCCAGCTGTTTTAGGAGACCCGGGTGCCATCTTGTCACTACTGCCTACACCTATTGTGATACTTGTCCGTGTGTGTGTGTGTGTGTGTGTGTGTGTGTGTGTGTGTGTGTGTGTGTGTTGTCCAAGCACCCAGGGGCCTAAAGGCATTCTAGGTCACTGGTGTTTTGGGGGTGGGAACACAGAGGCAAGTTTAGAGACTACCAGCTCCTTCCTTGTTTTCCAATCTGGTGTCTGTACCTAGTCTCCGACCCCCCATGTTATCTGAGGAGATCCTCAAAGAGCTTTGGCTATGGCCAGTGTGGACCCTCGTTGTCACTCATACCTGCTGCTGGTGATTTCCAGAGCCTTCTACTGACCATGGATTCTGTTGTTGTTAGTCTGGGGTGTTTTGTTTTGTTTTCTCTTCCCAGCCCAGAGATTGGGTGCATTTTTTGTTCCTTGTCTTTTAAGGCAGCTTTCTTGATGGTTGGTGTTTGGTTTTAAACAGAAGTCCTCCTTGTCCCGCCCCGCCCCGCCCCACCTTCCCCGGAGTAGCTGGTGTTAACTTCTTTCTGTCTTGTCGTACTAACCTCAGTTCAGTCATCTCTGGCTGCAACAGCTACCCTCTTCTCAACACATGCATGAGCGAGCGCATGGCTGCTCTCACCCCCTCCCCCACCTTCTCAAGCCCCGACTCCGACACCACCGAGCCTGCCGAGGAGCAGAGCGTGGGGGAGGAGGAGGAGGAGGAGGAGGAGGAGGAGGAGGACCTGGAGGACGACGTCTTTCCGGAGCACACGCTGTGCGACGGCCGGGACCCGTTTTACGACCGGCCCCCCCTGTTCAGTTTAGTAGGAAGGTTGGTGAGGTTGAGGCACGCATGCCGGGGAGGAGCCAGCTCTTTTGCACAGGAGCACTGCTGTGGTATAATCCGGCATCGGGGCAGACACCGGACCCTCTGGGCCATGCAGGCTAGGGCTAGCCTCTGAGGGGCTGAGAGAGCCAGGTTCCCCTCGTGTCTTCACAGTGGGAGATGGATGCTCTGGCTCAGCAGGGAAGTCTGGAGCCAGTGGCAGGAGAGATTGGGGCTTGGAGCATGCAACTACAGCCAAGAGCTCCTGGTACCCACTCTGAATGGCTGGGATAGTTCCTGTAGTGACCCTAGGAAATGACCAAGACTCCATGACTCCCTGTGCAGGGCTCGAGGGACATTTAAGAGGGGAAGAAAGATGTCCTCAGGCAGGATTCCCCAAACCCTTGTCTTGGGAATCGGCTTGGTTCAGCTGAAGTGGCTTCTGCTTATGCCACTGTTGTCCAAAGAAAAGGTACCCTATGCGTTCAGTGCCGCTGTTCTGAGAGCAGGACTATGAGCCACCCAGGGCAGGGGAGGAAGGACCTCACCTACCTGCCTTAATTTTGTAGAGCCTGGCAGGTGAGAATAGCTCCAAGCCCCTGACCTCCCAGGCCAGCCTGATGAATGGGCACATGCCCTTTACTGAGAATCCCACCCCCATCCCCTGGCCGCTTAATTCCTGGGATAGGTGTGAGAGAGAGGCTGGGGATGGGGAAATGGGATACAGGAAACCGGGTCTAGCTGCTGGCTGCAGCAATGAGCCAAATAACTTCTGAAATGCTAGGGTTTGTAATCTACCTGCTTGGAACAGCAACAGTCTTAGTAGCATCCTCTCCTGGAGTTTAAGATTGCTTCTCGGACAACGGGAGTTTCAGAACTCTTGACCTTGGAGCACAAGTCCTTATAGACTATGAACTTTCAATGGAGTTCCTTCCTTTCTTCCTTGAATGGAGGCGATGGTGTGAGAGCCCCTCTCCCTCTTGGAAGGTAGCAAGTTCCATATCACTGGCCAGGGTCTTTGATTAGTGTTCCTAACTCTCAGTGGCTGGCAGTAGCTGTGGTGAGCTAGCCAGCTGGACACAAATGGGTAGCCTCTCCCTCCGAGACACCCTGGGTCTGGACTTCCACCCTGCTGGGCCTGAGCAAGAGGTGCAGATAGCAGACCAGCTCTGCACAGGCATCTCCCAACAAGCCTTGAGCTATAGTACCAGACCTCCCATGCCTGCTGGGCCCTGGGAGTGGTTCCGGGTGTCAGGTAGGCAAGGGGTCAGGAGACAATGACATGAGGAGAAATGGGGTGTGGGCTCTGCAGTCTCATGAAAAGAGCTGGGTCCTTCCAACCTTGTTTTCCCTCTTGTGGATTTGAGATTTTACAAAAGGACCAAACTTAGCAAAAGTCATCCATGAGAGGCCTGGCCCCCTGTATTGTGGGGTGCTCTGTGCAAGGCTTCATTTGGCAACATCCTGACCTTTTTGGTTTGGCAAGAATTGGCTTCTCCGCACAGCAGCTATGCAGGCCCAGCCCTGAGGAGGGCGCCACCTTGGTTTTCCTTTTATCCTCTGGTAGCTGCTGGCTCTCTCTCCAAAGCTTAAGCAAAATTGGGGTACCCACTCTTGTCCCCTCTGGAAAGGCTTCCCTGGGTCCCAGCATGCGTTTCTGCACCTCACCAATCTGTGGTTAGCGCTGCCTCCTCCCTCCTGCCTCGCCACGTGCTGCTCTGCCCATTGTGCCCCCCTCTCCTCTTCCGGGTATTTTAGTCTGCTTCAAGGCGCTCTGGATCCTGGGCAGTTGTCTCATGGCCGTTACCAGGGCCCCTCCTCACATCCAGGGTCTCTGATGGTTAGATGTCAGGTGGCCTGGGGATGTGGGTGAGTTAGCTGAAGTGAGCCTAGAGGCTCCCATTTCCTAGTGAGCGCACATTCAGAAGATGGGGACAGGGAGGCAGGCACTCAGAGAGGAGGGAGGTCTGGGGGAGGATCTGAGGAGGGTACCAGATGGGTAAATGTGGACCCAGCAAGAGGCTGCACTTGATAGCTCCGTGCTAGGCCTCCTTATCTGGCCCAGTGTGGCTGTGACAGTGTTCTTCTGGCCTTGAGAGCAGCCGGGTGTTGGCTGGTGTGGCTTGCCAAGCTTGGCAAGGGCTGTGTGGCTGTGTTGTGACCCTGCAGTGGCTTACACTGTCTTCTTGTTGTTTCTGGTGTCCAGAGAACAGGTAAGATGAAGGCTGGAGTCTATTGGCCCCCTGAGCAGGTGTGCCCTCATCTCCCAGGTTTGCTGGCTGAATGAGTTCTACTCAGAGTGGGGCACAAAAGTCTTCCAGATTCAGCTTGTGGCCCCTTCAAAACCTTGGGAGGCAGTCCTGGCCCAGAAGTATCTTCTAGATGAATGACTTCACCACAGTGCCAAGTGGACTGAGTTGGTCATATAGATCATATAGAGAAGGGGAGTGGGGGATGGGGAAGTGAGCATTGCATTCTTTTTGTCTTCTGCAACATCTGACCCCACAGCTATAGCTAGACCCACAGTTCCCATTTGCCCTGTGCAGGGATCGTGAGGATCCAGGGGCTTTAGCCACAAATGGGTCTCTTTCAGTGCATAACCCCAGCCTCCAGTGAGAGATTCGGGTTAGGGTCAGTGTTAGATGTGGGACACATCGTTCCTACAGTTTGGATGTGGGCCATGGCAGCCTGAATTTCCCCTGTCTGATGGGAGGACGTTCTAAAAGATGGAGATACAAGATTTATTTGTGATTAGTTGCACTGACAAGCAATGAGCAGCAGGGCTGAGAGCTAACTAAGGGAAACTAGTTAGCAGGACCCATCCTAGTTCTGGCCCTTGCTGCCACCCCTGGTTTCTGCCTAATATTTTTGTGCATCAGTTTCTTCCCTTGTGAAATGAGCCTGAGTGTTATATTCCACCAGCTGTGATGGGCCATGCTAGACTCTGGACTCTTTACATCCGTAAGAGAGGAGAACACAGCTAGCTAACTCGAGGGGTACCACTGTTAGGACAAGGTTGATAAACCACCTTCCAGGCATTGGGGAGCATTCACCGTTCCAGGATATGTATTTCTTCTTTTGGTCCTGTAGTCTCTGGGGTGGTCCCACTTTACAATAGGCCCTGTAGGGAGCCTGAATGGCTGCCTGCTGAAGTCTTACCATATGACTTAGGTATAGACTTGCTCTGGGTACTTCTCCAGAACCCCTAGTTCTGGACAGTGGGGAAGGGTCAAGAAGTGAGTGTGTAAGATCTCTGAGTTTCCCTATGGGTGCTCACAGAACTGGGGGTATCTCCATAGTGCCAATAGGGTACATCTGGATAGCCCAGAACCTGGGCTCTATTGATTCCAAGCAAGCTCTGTGACACTGCCTCCTGAGCCCTCTAGAGAGGTAACCAAGGGGGTGAGGGCCTTGGGAAGGCAGAGACAGGTTTCATTTGGGCTCAGAGGCCCTGAACAGCCATCACAGGGCCTTCACCTGGCCCCAGTGTGGTATGCCCTCACAGTCCTCTGTGGGCTCTCTATATTCTTTCCATAGCAATTCCCCAACTGGAATTGAACCTTGAACAAAGGGGTTTGGCTAGCGCTTTTCCTGAGAGGACCCTCTGCTAAGGAAAGTCCTGGGGCGGTCACCCACAGGGACACTAAGGTCTCTTGAGGGAGCTGCCTCCCAATGAGGCCTGACTTTGAAGGCTTTGCCAGAACAACTTGCTGAAGCTCTGCCATGTATTAAAAGCACAGAAAACCGGAGAGTCTACAAATTCTCAAAGTCAGAAGATGGAGCCCAGAGAATGGAAATGGGCTGTTGCCGTGAGAGTAGACAGATAGCAGGGACCCATTGGCCCCTGTGGGAGGTTGAACATGGGGGCTGTAAGGTGGGGCTGGCCCTTAGGACTTAGATGATTCTGTGAGGAGCTTGGGCACCATTGAGGGTGTGGGGACTTCAATGTGACAGGGACACATAGAAGGGACAGTGGGAGAGGCAGGGTGACAGAGAGGCCAACTGAGGGATCACCAGCAAGGAGGTATTGACTTGAAGGGGGATCAGGGCCGGGCCTAGGCTTCTGAGTGATGCGCACACACTCTGAGTTGCACTTGCCCTGAGAAGGGCGACACTTAGGGGCCGGTTGTGTCTGACCTCCAGGTAAGCTGATAGGACACAGGTGTTTGTTTGTTAATAGAGCTCCATGGAGGAGTTGCTTGATGGAGCCCAAGGGGAAGTAGGGATCCATACTCTTAAACGTTGAGGCTTGCTAGCCTGTCCTGGTTCATCCCAGGTCCTCCAGCCCTTGAAGCAGGCTGAAACCCGCTCTTCAGCTGTTCTCAGACAGCCATGTCCAGGCTGAGCTGGGTTGTGCCCTCCATGCACTGAGGCCCACTCCTCCTTCTCTGTACCTCCACCTCCTGTCTCCCCTGA